TCCCAAACCAACCAGCCCGCATGCTTTGACTGGCTGGAGAAGGAGACCTACCTGTCAGCTGCTCGTTTCAGGGCTGTGATGAGTGTTAAGACACAGGCTGGCCAAATTAAACCTGAGGAGAAACGACATTCACAATACCCACCGTCAACATAATGATCTTGGGAAGCCACATGATCTCTTTGATTACCCTTAATTTTCCTGTTACTTTCAAATGCTCTAAGAAAACCACAAAACCAAATCCACTGCTGAGTCAATGCTTAGTTACAGCAACTCTACAGGGCAGAGGAGAACTGCCCTATGGGGTTTCCAAGGCTGCAGATCTTTACTGCAGTAACAATGGGGTCAAATGTAGCAGTGATTGTGAGGATGGCAGAGGACCAGGCAGTGTTACATTCTGCTGTGCATAGCTTAGTTATGAGTCAGAAAGGACTCCACACCTTTAACTGGAGCAGATAGCTCCATCTTTCTCCTGCATCCTGCATATGGCTGGCGGATTCCAACCTCTGAACTTTTGGTTAGTTAGCATTCCAGCGCTTAATGCACTGCATCACTGGGGCTGGAAATCCTGACCTTGGGGATGAGTGGGAACTGGAAGCCTGCCTTACACGGATATATTGTCAGGAGGGAGCAGTCGCTGGAGAGGGATATCATGTTTGGTGAGGTGGAAGGTCAGAGAAAATGAGGAAGACCCCCAACAAGATGGATTGGCCAGGTGGCAGCATCGATGGACTGAAGCATGGCAATGATAGTGAGGTTGGGCCAGGATTGGATAGTGTTTTGTTCTGCTGTGCATAAGGTCGCTATGAGTCAGTACCGACTCGATGGCACCTAACAACAACAAAGTTCATCCATGGTGGGCACGTTTCAGCTGAGCTTCCATACTAAGACAGACTGGGAAGAATAAAAGGGTGATCACTTCTGAATGGTGAGCCCGTGAAAATGTTATGAACGAACAGCAGCCTAACACTGTCAGCTATAGTGCCAGAAGGTAAGATCCTCAGGTTGGAAGGCACTCAGAATACAGCTCGGGAAGAGCTAGCTGCCTCCTCCAAGTAGAGTTGACCGTAATGATATGAATGGGGCAAGGCTTTCGGGACCTTCATTTGCTGATGGAGCACAACTCAAAATGAGAAGCGCTGCGAAGACCCATTAATAATCAGAACGTGGAGTGTACAAAGTATGAACTTAGGAGAATTGGAAGTTGTAAAAAATGCAATGTATAAAGATCGATACTCTAGGCACTAGTGAACTGATATGGACTGTTGTTGGCCTTTTGAATTGGATAGTCACATGGTTTACTATGTTGGGAATGACAAATTGAAGAGAAATGGAGTCATATTCATTGTCAGAAAGAACATTTCAACATCTGGCTTAAAGTACAATGCTGTCTGTGATAGGATGATATCCACATATTTACAAGGAAGACCAATAAACACCACTATTATTCAAATTTACACTCTAACCAGTAATGCCAGTGATAAGGAAATTGAAAAATTCTACCAATTTCTTCAGTCTGAAATTGATCAAACATGCAATCAAGATGTATTTATAATTACTAGCGATTGGAATGTGAAAGCTGGAAACAAAGAGGGAAGATCTGTAGTTGGAAAATAGGACCTTGGTGATAAAATTGATGCTGGAGATTGCATGATAGAATTTTGTAAGACCAAAGACTTACTTATTGCAAATACCTTTTTCAACAACATAAACGGCGATTATACACATGGCCCACTCCAGGTCAAATACACAGGAATCAAATTGACAACATATTTGGAAGGAGACAATGAAGAACTTGACCATCATCAGTGAAAAGAAGCCTAAGGGCCAATTGTGGAACAAACCATCAATTGCTTATATGTAAGTTTAGACTGAAGCAAAAGAAAATGAAAACAAGTTCACAGGAGCGAAAATATGACCTTGAATATATCCCACTTGCATTTACAGATCATCTCAGGAACAGATTTGATGCATTAAACACTAAGGGCTGAACACCAGAAGTGTTGTGGGATGACATCAAGAACATCATACGTGAAAAAAGTAAAAGGTCATCAGAAAGACAGGGAAGAAAGAATAGACCAAAAGGGATGTCACAGGGAGACTCTAAAATTACCTCTTGAGCGTGGAAGAGCTAAAACTTCTTAAACTGGAAGAAATGAGGAAGAAAAGAATTGGAACCAAAAATTTCAAAAGGATGGCTCAAGAAGACAAAGTAACATATTATAATGCAATATGCAAAGAGACCTGGAGTTAGAAAATCAAAAGGGAAGGATGTGCTCAGAATTTCTGAAGCTGAAAGAAAAGATAAGATTCAAGCCTTGGTTTGCAATATTGAAGGATTTTGTGGGCAAAATATTGAATGATGCAATAAATTTCAGAAGAAAATAGAAGACACACACAGTGTTGCTGTATCAAAAAGGACTGATCAGTGCTCAACCGTTTCAAGAGGTGCTGGATGGTACTGAAGGTAGAGGTCCGAGCTGCACTGAAGGTGGAAAACAAGCCTCCAGGAACTGATGGAATACAAACGGAAATGTTTAAAAAAACATGCAGCTGTGGAGGCGCTCAGTCTTCTATACAAAAAAAAAAAAAAAAGGAAAATAGCTCCCTGGCCAACCAATTGGAAGAGATCCATATTTGTGCCCTTTCCAAACAAGATGATCCAATGGAATGCAAAAATCATACAAAAGTAACATCAATATCAGATTCAAGTAAAATGTTGTTAATGACAATTGAAAAATGATTACAGCAGCACAGCCACAGGGAGTGGACGGAGGGATTTAGAGGAGGACGTGGAACGAGGGATATCATTGCTGATGTCCGATGGATCATGGCTAAAAGCAGAGAATATCAGAAAAATGTTTACTTGTGCTTTATTGACTATGCAAAGGCTTCCAACTGTGTGGATCGTAACATACTATGTATAACATTGTGAAGAATGAATATTCCAGAACACTTCATTGTGCTCATGAGAAATCTGTACATGACCAACAGGTAGTTGTTTGAACAGAACAAGGAGATACTGACTAGTTCAAAATCAGGAAAGGGTTGTTATCCTTTCACCATACTTATTCAATCTGTGAGGAACTCTGGTAGCGTAGTGGTTACGAATTGGGCTGCTAACCTCAGGGTCAGCGGTTCGAAACTACCAGCTGTTCTGCCGGAGAAAGATGAGGCTTTCTGCTCCCGTACAGATTTACAGTCTCGGAAACCCTGTACAGGGTGACTATGAGTCGGAATCAATTCCACAGCACACAACAACAACAAACAATAACATTCAATCTGTATGCTGTGCAAATAATCTGAGAATCTGGATTATATGAAGAAGAAGACGACATCAGGATTGGAGGAAGACTCATTATCATCCTGTGATATGCAGATGATACAATCTTGGTTGCTGAAAGTGAAGAGGACTTCAGATACTGATGAAGGTAAAAGACCACAACATGCAGTATGGATTGTACCTCAATATGAAAAAACCAAAGATTTTCACAACTGGACCAATAAATAGATCAATGGAGAAAAGATTGAAGTTGTCAAAGACTTCAATTTGCTTGGATCCACAATCAGTGCTCATGGAAGCAGTGATCAAGAAATCAAATTAGGCAAATCTGCTGCACAAGACCTCTTTAAGGTGTTAAAGAGCAAAGGTGTCAGTGTGAGGACTATGGTGTGCATGTGCCTGGTACACGTCACGGTGTTTCGTATCTCCTGATATGAATGTGAAAGTTGGATAATGAAAAGGGAGACCACTGAAGAAGTACCTTGGATTGACAGAAGAACAAACAAATCTGCTGGAAGGAGTACAGCCAGAATGCTGCTTAGTAGCGCGTTCTTCGGATATATATCAGGAGGAGCCCATCCCTGAAGAAGGACATCATGATTGGAAAAGTGGAGGGTCAGCGATAAAGAGGAAGACCCCAACAAAATGGATTGAAACAGTGGCAGCAGCAATGGGCTGAAGCATAACAATTGTGAGGTTGGCACAAGACTGGGTAGTGTTTCGTTCTGGTATGCATAGAGTCGCTATGAGTAGGAACCAACTTGGCAACACCTAACAACATCAGCTAGGATCACTATGAGCCAGAATCAGTGTGATGGCCACAGGTTTGTTTTTGGGTTTGGGGAGAGAGAAGAGGTGGAGGGGAGAGAGAAGAGGTGGAGGGGAGAGGAAGATGCTGGAACAAGGAGGGCACCGTGTGTGATGCTAAGAACTTGGGCTAGGAGCCCAGCATTCCCTCACCTACAATGCGCCACCCAGCATGCCAGCTGCTCAGTATAATCAAATGGGCAAGGCAAGGGGCAATCACTGTCTTCAGGAGCTTAGTGGGGGAGCAGAGAGCAAGGGATTACTTTGTGGTCTCTGTGTACTGTACAGGAAGGTCAAGGATCCTAAAGTTTAGAGCAGGTGTCAAAATTATGCAGCTTCCCCAGCCTCCTCTAACCTCCGAGGGGCACCAGGAGCCTGCTGGGGTTCACTCAGCCTGGGAGGAGCATGGGGACTCGGTATTAACAAGGAGGCACACCTTTGAAAGCAAGGGCTTTTGCATTTGGAAGCCCACCCCCCCAGGACACCCTCAGGTCTGGAACACCCTCAGTTTCCCAAAGCGAACAAATCTGTCTTGGAGAAGTACAGCCAGAATGTTTTTTTTTTTTTGGAAGTGAGGGGGATAAGATTTATCTCATGTACTTTGGACGTGTTATCAGGAGGAACCGGTCCCTGGAGATGAACATCATGCTTGGTAAATCATAAGGTCAGTGAAAACAAGAGAAACCCTGAACGAGGTGGTTTGACCCCGTGGCTGCAGTTATGGGGTCGAACATAGCAACAATTGTCAGGATGGGGCAGGACTGGGCATGGTTCTGTTCGGTTTTGTGTAAGGTATTATAAATTGCAGCTGACTTTGGCAATTACTAAGTTTTCCAAGTAATTCACCATGCAGAGTAGCCCCAAAGACTAGGGTCAACTTGTCTGATGACGATCCTCCCATTGCATTGGAGAGATGGACATCTGTCTGTCCCTTGTCCCCTGGTTTCTCCCCACCCTACCCACCCCCCCACAGGGAGATCACAGGGCTGAGGGATCATTGGGCCGCGTGGACCTGGCCCTCCGCGGGAGAGAAGTCACCAGCGCAGGCGTGCCTGCGCTGCGTACTCGCGGCCAGCAGAGAGCAGCAGAGAACAGGAGTGGCCGGAGCCGCGTGCGGGCGCCCGAGCCCAGCCGAGCCGGACCCCGAGCCCGCGCGCAGACGCCCAGAGACGCCGCTGAGCGCTCCAGGCCGCCGGTCCTTCTTGCGCCCCAAGTGCAGCCCGAGCCCGGAGCCATGGCCAGCCCCTCCGGCAGCCCAGAGGACGCGGGCCAGCCCCGAGGCCGTGCCGGCCGGCCGCGATGGGAGGAGGAGGACGCCCCTCCTGAGGAGAAGCGGCTGAGGCTGGGGCCGGAGGAGGTGGAAGGCGGCGACGCGCCACGTCTGGGCACGGAGGACACCGGCACCCAGACAGGTGGCGACGGCTCAGGTGTAAGTGGCGCGCGGTCAGGGCAAGGGGCTGCGGGCCGGGTGGCGGGGACGCCCCCGCCGTGGCTTAGGTGGAAGTTGGTGATGGGGTACCAACTCCGGCGGGTGCCGGGGACCTCTGGAGCGGCTAGGTGTCGCGTGCTGGTGGCAGACCCCTTCTTGCTTTTGTAGCGCCCACCTCCTGCCTCTCCCACCCTCTTGACTAGGAGGGCGGCAAGCAGAGAGGGAAGAGCGGGGTCCTGGGGGACAGGGCCAGGGGGCGAGCAGCCCACCGTGCATCCTCGTCCTGGACAGGGCTGCTTTCCTGGCCCCTGGGGGACTCGGCTGGTTGTGCGGAGGCACCTCTCACCTCGCCAGGTGAGGGCGTTGGGTGGGGACGGATGTGGGCGCCTCTTTGCCCAGTCCTGCTCTGCCCAGCTCGGCCCTGCTCGCATCTCCTCTTCTTGAGGGGCGACGAGAGTTGGGAGAGGAGGCAGGTGATACCCCTGTCAAAGCGCTCGGCATCCACAGCAGCTCTGCTCCGCCATGGTCCTCGCTGGGGAGGGTGTCTGTGAGCGTGTGCTGTGCTGTGTGCACATATGTGTGAGTACACTGAGTGCTCTGTGCACATGTGTGAGTACACACATATGTGTGAGGGTGTGTTCTCTGTGCACATGCATGTGAGCACACAGTGTGCCCCTGCTGTGTGCACATATAAGAGTACACACATATGTGTAGGTGTGCTCTGTGGGTGCACACATGTGTGAGTAAACACGTGTGCTGTGTGTGCACACCTGTCAGTATGTGTGAGGGTGTGCTGTCTGTATGCACATGTGTCACTGTGTGTGGGTGTGCTGTGTATGTGCACATGTGTGTAAGCACACAGGTGTGAGGGTGTGTGGTGCCTGGGCACACATGTGTGAGGGTACATGCTCTGTGTTCACATGTGTGTGAGTGCACACGTATGTTGCTGTGTGTGCATGTGTCAGTATTGTGTAGGTGTGAGGGTGTGCTGCAGACCTGCATGGATGAGACACTGTGTGCATGTGAGGGTACTGTGTCCATGGCCATGTGTGTGTCAGTATGTGTGTGGGGGAGGTGTACTGCATATGTCCACTTGTGTGAGGTTGTACTGCATACCTGCATGCATGTGTGTCGGTGTACATGTTTGTCACTTGCATGTGCATTAGAGACACTGCATGTGTGATGTGAAAGTATGCTACACATCAAGTCAACACATCTCTGTGCAGGGTGTACTGTGTGTGTGTGCATGCATGTGTGTCAACACACACACGAATGTCACTGCCCATGTGGTGCTGTAAGGGGGTACTGTGTATGTGCACATGTGTAAGTCAGGTCACATGTGTGTGACAGTATGGGGGTGTACTGTGTACTAGCACACATGTATGAATTGGTACATATGTGTGGCAGTATTGTGTGTGTGGTTCATGCTCACATGTGTGAGCCACTACATACAAGTGTGGCATTGTGAGGATGTACTGTCTACTTGCACACCTGTGTCAGTACACTACATGTATGTATGGCAGTATTGGGGTGTGCTGTGTATGTACACACATGTGAGTCACTACACACAGGTGTGACAGTGAGGGTGTGTTGTGTACTTACACACACATGTGAGTCAGTACATATGTGTGGCAGTATGAGGGTGTGCTGTGTAAATGCATGTATGAAAGTCAGTCCATATATGTGTAGAAGTAGTGGGGTGTCCTGTGTACTTGCACACACATGTGAGTCACCAGGCACATGGGGGTGGTGCTCCTCAGCCAGCTGGACCACTGGTCATCACTTTCTGGTTCTATTCTGACCCTTTCAGCTGTGACCTTTCTGACTTTACATTTGCAGGGCACTTAGAGGCCAGATGAGGGCTGGCTGGACAGCTGTCCCCTTGGTGAGGGCTGCCACCTCGATGGTGTTTAGTGGGTGATGGGAGTGACCTTTGTACTCCTTCCCAAGGGTGCTAGTCTCAACTATTTGCCTGGCTGCACTTATCTTAAACATGAGATTGGTCACTAATGAGCCCCATGTGGAGGTGCTCCCCTTCCTCCTGACCCCAAATCTGTTTAGGCAGCAGGATGTTCCCAGGCTGCCTCAGCACCAACTGTGCAGGCGTGTAGTTGGTTCCAGAAACTCCTCTGAAACCTGGTCTACTGTAATCTCCTCATCCCCCTCATGCCTGTGACTGGGTTCAGGCCACCTGAACATGGAGCTCAGAGGACCAGTGAGCAGGGGTCAGGGTTTATGTAAGGTTTACCAGGATCCATCGTGGGAGGGTGTCATGGTGGCATGTACTTCTGGGAAGTCCAGTCCTGTATTGGTTTCCTTCCTACTCTGATGTGGAGCTCTGTGGCATGGTCCCTGCAGTGGTTCACAGCGTGAGTTTGGAGCCTGGCACTCCTGATTGGAATCCTGACTCTGTTCAGTGACCTAGGACAAGTTGCTTAACCTCTCTGAGCCTTATTCTCCTCCTTTGAGAAATGAGTATGTCACTAGGCTCTATTTTATAGGGTTATTATTCCTGAGACTGAGCTTTGGTATGGAACTGTCAGATAAGCACTGGACTGGTAACCACAAGGTCAGCAGTTCTAACTTGCCAGCCACTCTCGGAAACCCTACACAGGGTTGTTATGAGTCAGAACTAACTTGATTGTACACAACAACAAAAACAACCTTCATGAGACTGAGGAAGGTGTATGCACAGCAATGGAGTTCATAGTGATATCAACGGTCAAGTGCTCAGCTGCCAGCCAGAAGGTTGCTGGTTTGAGTCCACTCAAACTAGAAATGGACTGACGATCTGCTTCTGAAAACTCAGTCACTGAAAACTCAGTGGAGTATGGCTCTACTGTGCTACATGGTGGGTCGCTGTGAATTGGGGCGACTGGCTGGCAACCATATATTTTGTAATCCATAGAAGGCACTTTGACTCATGTCAGGCACATGGTAGGTGCTCAGTAAATGCTCTTTAGTACTGAAATTAACTCCACAGGGCTTATGTGGTATTGGGATGGCTTATGGGGTGCATGACAAGAAAAAAGTGAATCTTCCACCATAGTTCCCACAGGAAAGGCTTTCTGGAGGTTACGTGCATTTGTGTGTAGGTATTGGCATTTTCAGAAAAGGCAGAAACCCCACTGAACATTTTGGTCTGCAAAAGGAAAAGGAAATCTCCACTTACTTGAAAGAGCTAACTTAGGGAAGTGTGCAGAGGCCGAAGTTGGTTAGTGGTTAGCAGGGGTGGGAAGAAGGGAAGTGGGGGAAGGAGGGGAGTCATTGTCTAGGGGACACCAAGCTACTGTGAAGGACGATGGGGGAACCTGGAAGCAGATCGTGGTCACACAACAGGACGGGCATGATGGACGCTACTGAACGATCTGTGTGGAGAACGGAGAAGTGGCAGACACTTTGTGACATATACATCTACTGCAATGATAATAATAATTATGAAGAAGAAATGGAAATCTCACCTTTGAAAGGTTTATGTGGTAACAGGACAAAAATTATCCCTGTTTCCTAGGCCTGGGTAGGACCCTGTCCTTTGGGGGTGCCTGAGTCTTCTGGGGATGGTGGCCCCTTGCACAGCTGGCATCTTGATTGCCAAGTTTCAAGGTTGGCTAAAGCCCAGTGTTGCCCAGAAGGCCCACAGGCTAGCCTTCTCCTTGATAGTGTCTGTCAGGATATTGTACCTAAAGAACCCAAGAAGCAGTTTCAGGCTGGCGCTAGGAGCAGCGGCCTGTTTTTGGATGGATAGTGCCTGATTCTTACCCATGGCCCTACCCCAGGGGAGACCATGAGCTCGGCGAGAGCAGCCTTGCTTTTCCACAGCAGATGGCTTCGGGCTCACATTGGGTGTTTCTCTGCAGAGGCTGCTGAGGCAGTGCCTGGTCGTCGGGTTACATCCAGGTGCCTGTAAGGGCAAGATGCCCGTTCTCACACCTGGGTTGGGCACTCAGATGGCTGAGCTATAATGTGACTGACTGTCCTCCAGATGGGCTGCCCGTGTTGGTCAAGTGGGGGTGGCTGTACTTGGTGAGTTTGGTTTTGGTTTTGATACCATTTAGGAGCTCCTTAAAAACATCCAAGCAAACCCCAAACTAGTTGCCAGTGAGTCAGTTCCAACTCAGATGTGGAGATCCCACATGTGCAGAGCAGAACTGTGCTCAGTGGGGTCATTAAGGCTGTGTGTGACCTTTTGGAAGCTGACTTCTAGGCTTGTCTTTCAAGGTGCCTCTTGGTAGGTTTGAACTGCCAACCTTTTGCTTGATAATTGAATACTTCAGTCTGTGTCACCCAGGGACTCCTTGGGAAGAATATGCAGGCTTCACGGACCTCAGGCCTCAGTTCTTTCATCTATAAAATGGAGAGAGGAGGGTGGTATGGGAGATTAAATGAGATGAGCAGATCACAAATGAAAATGCTTGGCACACCACTTAGACACAGAAAAAGCACAAAATCGAAAGTCGATACTGTTTTCAGTGATTTGGGCGAATCAGACTCTGGTCTCCATCCTCTTGTCTGTTGATGGCATACATGCCAGGAGGAAAACCATCCACCTAAACTTCAGGTGCATCCAGGGGGTGTGAATGGCTGCTAACCAAAAATTTGGCTAGCAAAATTTGCTTGCTAACCAAGAATTTGGTGGTCCAAGTCCACCCAGAGGTGCCTCGGAAGAAAGAACTGGCAATCTATTTCCAAACTATTAGCCACTGAAAACCCTGTGATGCGCAGTTCTCCTCTGGCCCACGTGGGGTCAGCATGAGTCAACCTGGACTCAGGTAGCCATCAGACATTTTGCAGGTGGCTTAGATTCTTCGTGATGTCCCCCTCAGTTCTTCTGGCCCAGGATCTGGGGAGACAAGGATGTGGGCAGGCAGAGCAGGTGGCATTCAAAGTTTACTCCCACAAAGGGGAATCCAAAGGCAGGCTTGCAGAGGCATGGCGTTTGGACCAACATCTGGATTTCCGGATTTCCGTTTGAGCACAGCTAGACTCCACAGAGTTGGTATACTGTTTGCTGAAATAAGATATTTCCCTGGCAACCGTCCTTTGAGCTGACATGTAGACGTGGCTGCCCACGAAATGCTGCACGCCTCCTTTGCCTTCCTATCAGTTGTGAAGCCAGCCTCTGAGGCGGGCAGTGTGTATGTGGGAACTGTCTCGGTTCGGTGTCCTCA